AATGAAAGGCTGAATGTACTGTACCCTCCTGTCATCCCAGCTACATAGAGAGCATAAACAGGAGGATCATGGTTCAGGCTAGCCTAGACAAAAAGTGAGACCCTATTTAAAACATAACTAAAGGGGGAAAAAAGGCTGGATATATGGTTCAGTAGTAGAGCAATACATGGCCCTGAGTTCAAACTCTAGCACCACCACCAAATATATAGATACAGTTGTCTTCTTAGATAACTTCTTTTCTCTTGCAATGGTATTTTTTAAATTTTATTTTATTTGCTTTGGGACCTGCTGTAAATGCTGAGGAATGATGAATATGGTCATGTTAAGTGCTTTATTATTTATTCATTCAACTTAATTTGATCACAATTGTGGATGAATGATAGCCACACTGCTTAGCATGTGTGAGACTCTAGATTCCATCCTCAGCACTGGAAGGAAAAAACTCTAGTTACCATTATCTTAAAATCCTGTTCAGAGTACCTACCATACATTATCTTACTAAATTCTCACAAATCTGTAAGGTGGCCAATATCTTCTTTTACTGATAAAACTGAAACTTTAGAGATGTCAGGTGAGCTGATTAAGGTCATATGGCTTGTAAATAAGAGAGGCAAAACTTGAACTCAGGATTGTCTGACACCAAAGCCCAGTCTCTTTGTGGGCTTTAGTGCCCTGCCCATGGTTGTAAAGAAGCCTCCCTGTAATCTTTGGGGACATGCAGCCTGAAGTCTTTCAGTGTTCAGGATTTTTGCCAAGATAAAATGATAGAATATCTGAGGTGTATGAGGCACCAGAAACTACCAGTATATCCAAGAACTTGTAGGCAGCAAGAACCTTTCTGGAAAGCCAGGCTTGCAAAACTCAGATAAGCACGTGGCCTTTACCAACAGTGACATACACAAGTGACAGTAAAATGACTCCCATTTGGGCTCACTAGAGAGAAACGTATGGTAGCTATATCTGTGAGAATAAGCATGTCTCGGAACTTAGAGCAGAGTGTTGCAACTGTACCAGTGCTTACTTGAAGGAAGCAAGAGATGAGTAGCCATTCATATAGGCCAGAAATTTAACTACCTGTTTGCAGTTTTTTCCTCACAGCTTGTAAACATTTATTGAGAGTCTGCCAGACTCCAGCCCAGCTCAGTACTGTAACTATGGATATGGAAATGAGTGGAACAAAGGCTCGGTATGAGTCCACTGTATATTTGGCACTTGAGCAAGAAGGCCTTGCTCTTCATCCTCCAGGGAGATAAAGTAGGAACATCTTCCCTTGCACAGATGCACTGACTGAGGAGAAGTAAAGTCAGTTGTTAGAACAGTAATTAGAAACACAAAGGGAGGTTGCTCTTAAGTCTTATCTCTCTTGTTTACTGTTTCATTCCCAGTTTTTAAGACCTGGCACAAAACAGGCCCTCAGTAGGTGCTGATGGAGTGAGTTGGCTCCGAGATCCCCTTTAAAGAGGGGTGCATGTAACAGGATGGAGGTCAAGAAGGTCCCTTCATAGCATCCTGCCTTCCCTCCTGGCCAGTCACAGGAAGGAATGTCCACCCTGACTGGAGGAAACACTGGAGGCACCATTGCTGGACTCACAAAGGCAGACTTTCCCTTGGGAAGCTGAGAAACATCAAGGTCCCCTTTCTTAGGGATCTCAAGTGAAAGGGAGAAGAAGGAAGGGAAAGGAAGGGCCTGGCCAAAAAGCATCTGCAGCTCTGGCTCCAGACAGGTAAATAGGGAATGTAAGGGCCCCTGGGCTCTGGGGCCTAGATAGGCTGCCATCATGTTTTGCATGCAAATAGACCCCCACAAGAGCCTTACCCTCCTCATCAGCCTGTCCAGCCCACACAGCTGCACTGGTCTCTGCAAATCTATATCAAGCATCTGCTCACTTCTGGGACCTGTAAGCACCCGGAAGATATAGGGACATTCAGACCTGCTGGAGGAGATGGCATGGGGGTAGGGGAGGCGGCAGAGGTGAAAGGTGTGCGTTGTCTGCCATTCAGCATCTGGTAAGAGAGAGAAGGTAAATCAAGGAAGCCTTTCTCAAGGGGTGACAATTGAACTATGCATCCAAAAATAGAGGATTTAAATCAGAACATTCCTTATCCCTACAGTGGCATTTTCTTTTGGAAGTTCGTGTTTAGATCTGTAGTAAATGATCTTATACTTCGAATGTCATCTTCTCAGGACTCTTGGCAGCACCCCTAAATAATAAGTAAGGTGAAGCCTGGTGTCCCTCCCTGCTCCTCAGTCAATGGCTTCTTGGCAGGCTTGTCCTGGCCCGAACCTCAGACATTACTGTTATTCTGAGGGTGCTGCCTTTGGCTATGGGCTAAAAAGGTCTAAGATTAATGCAAAGATATCATGTCCAGAAGATGGTTTTAGACTTTGGATCTATAAGGACTCTTTCTACTATTGTAAACACAGCTTCCTCACCCATCTGTTACGTGGGAATGACATTGGTACTGCCCCCTAATGGGTGTTGTGAGCATTAGAAGTTAAAGGATGTGAACACACACTGGGCACTGGTGGCTCACACCTGTAATCCTAGCTACTCAGGAGGCTGAGATCTGAGGATCACAGTTCAAAGCCAGCACAGGAAGGAAACTCTGTGAGACTCTTATCTCCAATTAACCCCCAGAAAACCAGAAGTGGCGCTGTGGCTCAAGTGGTAAAGTGCTTGCCTTGAGCTGAAGAGCTCAGGGACAACACCCAGGCCCGGAGTGTAAGCCCCATGACCAACACAAAAGAAAAGAATGTGAACACACACACAGGCAGAGGTGCCGCCAACAGTTGCCATCAATTAAGTAAAATGCCATGAGAAAGCTGACTACTAGGGCAGGGGCAAGAACTAGAACCAGGTCACCTTGCTCTGCTGGCCTCCTGATAATAGTTGCATAGCTGTGAATTAGTCACTGCTTCTCACTGCGGTGATGCCCTGGACTCTAACCAGCTGCCTGCAGGGACAAGCAAGGCGATGAACACTCAGAAGGCTGCTTCTACACTGGCCCCTGACCTCTGACCTGAAAACAGCTGATAAATCAAATGTCCTTGCCCAGCCAGGCCTGTTCCCTGGTTCATGGATGCCTGTACCCTGGCTAGGACATTGCCGAGGCAGGCTGCCAGCCTCTCTCTTTTCCCTGACAGGGGTATCCCTGTTTGCTCCCTTCTGGCCTGGGACTTCAGCGTCTTTTCAGGTTTTCATGAAGACATGTAGCTTGCCTAGGAACTCTTCTCAGTCCTGAGGTTCAACCACTTGACCTGGTAGTGGCCCCACTGGTCTCTAAAGAAGAGGTGGGGCTGTGGTGGAAGGCATGGGAGGGAACAGATGAAAGGTAAGGCAGGAAGACAAACGTACATCAGATTTCAAAGGGTCCACAGGCCCAGTGTGGGCTTCACAGAGAAGGTGACAGCCTAGAATAAGGAAATAATCTCCAGAGAGGCTTCTGTTTCTTTTTCCCTCCTACTCCTGACTCCTCTTGCCCTCTTCCCTCTCCCAACTCCCACCAGATTTGCTTTATAACTCTTTGGCATAAATGATCAGATTCCCTAAAAAATCGGAGTAATGCATCCTCCACTAAAAATACCCATCACACCGATAGTGCCTCTCACTTGGGTGTGCTTGATAGTTTCCAGAACACCGACTCCTTGTGTGCCATGGTTTGAATCCTGTTCTCTCAGACTGCTATGTAAAGTATAGGCCTCTCATGGGGAATATGAGACTACTTTGTGAACTTCAGGAATATTTATTGCCCACTGCTTCATTGGATAGCATGGTAGTCCTTTCATCCCTGTAACTATTTTCCCTGTTTGCAGATGAGAACGTTGAGACTCAAAGAGGTGAAGTGACTTAGCCAGGGTTATGTGGTTTATGAGTAGTAAGATGGTAGGCTCTAGACTCAATTCTCATTACCTGACTTCTTCACCACCACCCCCCCACCCCATAATACTCAGCTTCAAGAGCCAAAGCTTTCTCTGAGCATAACTAGTGTGGATGGTAGCTATATGCCATCTTTATTATATGCCTAGGAACTTTATTTGTTTTCTTTCTTTGTAAATAATATCTATTTGGCAATATATCCTTGACCACTGTACTTAACCTGCTCCAAGTCTTAAATTTTACCATCCATCAGTTGGTGATAAATGCTATCATTTACTCTGGATAGTTGAAAGGAATAAATAAAATATTGATCGCCATCTTCTCATCTGTAAAATGGGGAGAAAAGCAAAGCAGTGCTTGCTCTATAGTGGGATGTATTACCTGAATTGTCACCTGCAAAGGGCTTGAAATGGTGCCCAGCACATAGTAGATACACAATAAATGTATTGTGGTTTTTCAGGACCAAGACACTAGCATGGCTCGTGTTACTCAAAAGTCATCTTTTCCCTGAATCCACTTATATTTCACAGGTACCTTTATACACAGACCACAGCACCCTGGCTCTGTGCATTCTTAGTTATCAGCCTCTCAGTTAACTATGTATGTATTTTATTTATTCGCCTTGTTGGCTTTATCCTATATGATTGGTGGGTCTCAAATTACAGTATCAGTCACTAAAAGGTTTTGTGAAAGTCAGATTCCTGGGCCTCACTTCAGAACCCCAGAACTTCCATCTCAAACACATTCCCAGGTGCTACTGAAACTGCCTGTGTGGGACTCTAACCACTGACGTCCTAAATACCCTATAGAAGAAAGATGAAGTGGCCAACTTCTCATTCATTATTTCTGCTACTGGGGAATTTAAGATTGGTGGGAAAATTCCCAGTGGCAGGAATTTCATTTTACCCATTTACCCCTCCAAATTGAGAATAAATACTAAAGGATCAAAAAAATATCAGTTGACTGCTCATTGACTGAATGCATTACTCTGTGTACTTTACCAGAGCTCGATGAATGTCTTTTTCCTTTTGTAGTCTTGGTCAGTTTTCTGTGGCTGTTCCCCTCAGCTGAGGGTCAAAGCCCAGCTTGCTGCCCAGCTGACCACGTGTATTTGTGCTTTAGATCACCCTGGCGGCCTGCAGAACCACCCTCGACTCCGGACACCACCTCCACCGCTCTCCCATGCCCATACCCCCAACCAGCACCACGCGGCCTCCATCAACTCCCTGAACAGGGGCAACTTCACTCCAAGAAGCAACCCCAGCCCAGCACCCACGGACCACTCGCTGTCAGGAGAACCCCCAGCCGGCAGCGCCCAGGAGCCCGCCCATGCCCAGGACAACTGGTTGCTCAATAGCAACATACCGCTGGAGACCAGGTTCGCCCAGGGTGGGTGGGTCAGCAGATGCCAGGAGGGTGTAGATGGCTCTGGGGGCAGAGCGCTGAGGTCTTTAGGTGGCTTTGAGATGGTCTGTGTCCCTGCTACCTACCTGGACTGAGAAGCTGGGATCAGATGCCCAGCCTGGATAACTGGAGAAAAAGGGTGGTGGGGTTCAGGACAGAAAGTACATGCAATCTAACAGACTGGAGGCCCAGTGCTAACCTGCTGCTTACCAAAGGTATGACCTTGGCCAAGTTGCTAGATCCTACTGTGCCTTACCTCCCTTGTCTACACAACAATGATGGTTCCGGCTAAGCGTGGTTGGTCTAAAAGCAGGCAAGAGCTCATGTGTAAGGGAGACTGGCATATGTGTATTACAGAGCAGGCTGTTGCCCCGCCCCAGCATCAAGCATGCCGAAACTAGGATGAGAGCTCCTGGTCCTTCCTGCTGTCCTTAGCCATCTATACCCCTGTGCCCAACTGTCCCTAAAGTTTACCCATCAGCCTTGGTAGCCAGTGTGATGTTATGTAATCCTCACACCCTTATGAGATGGGTTTTGTTAAGATAACCCCATTCAGGAGTTTTGAAAGCTGAGTATCCCAATGGGTCCTTCCTTCCTTAGGGAGTCACATGGGAGGTCGACATCTAGTTAGGACTTGAACTCAGATCACCTAACTTCCTGCCCAGTGCTACCTACTGCACCACGCTCACCTTCTCTAGGCCTTCCCCCAAATCTGAGACCTCAGTCCATATGCATTCTAGAGCCTCTTCCTTCCTTATGCTTGGCCACTTTTTCTACAATATAAAATAATATGATTATAAACACCATCCAGGAGAAATGCAGAAAGATATAGAAAAGAATTAGTTTAACTCACAAACCTACTATTCTGAACTGAGGAGGGTCTATCTTTTCCTTGCTTTCTCTAAGCTGAAATCCAAGCATCTTGAGCTGACACTATGGGACCTCTTTTTCTCCTGCTTTATCTCTTAGAGTACTGGGAATCCTAGATTTCATTTTCCCCAACTCCTGTTCTTTATCTGTGAAGAGCACCACAGTCATACTACGTTAGAGAAGTAAAATCTGCACATGGAAGGTATACCCATTTAACTCTACCTGACACATGGTTACGATATCTGTATATTGAGCTTGAAAAATCAGGATCCTTTTGAATCATTGTCCTCCTATGAAATTATTTCTCCAAAAGCAGATTTTCAGAGATGCAGCCCAGAAGCCCCTCACACCCCACTCCATGAATTAATATGGCTTCTGTTAATGCCTTTTAAAATCATGTGTGACTTTTCCCACCCGCCTCCTTTGCCCTCATCTGTTACAAAGTAGTATAATTGTCTGTCATCCCACCCAGGGTGGCTAATCAGATTGCCATTATTTCCAGTGTGCTTATTGAGTAGCACATGGCTGAGAAAGGCCAGCAATTGATCAATGAGTCTGACTCTCTGCATAGACCCCAGTGGCCACTCTTTCTGCCTGGATGTTTGCTTTTCTCTTTTAGGAGCCAAAGTAGGGCTTCCTACTTGAAGTCTTTAGATTTTTAATGGAAAGGGAGGTAGAGGAAAGCAGTTAGGGAGCTTTTCCTAATGGTAGCTCCATCCTGCCTCTTCAGCCAGTGCTTACCTGCCTTGCCCATCTTCTGCCCTTCCACATTCATTGCTTAAATGCATGAGTTGATCTGGAACAGGCACAGTATTACTTTGACCATATTTTTTCTGCCAACATCATCATGGGCCAGCCAGCTTCAAGGAGACACTTCTAAATGGTAGAAGTGTCAAAGGATGTACAGCTAGCTTGAATCCACCATGCTGCTGTCGAAGTCACACTTGGTCTCAAGGTGCCTTTAAGCACTTTACTAGCCCTCACGTAGTCCTCGTTGCCTACTTAATAACTGGCAGGGAAGGCATGTGAGAGAAGAGACTTGTGGCAGGCTACATGCCCTGATAGACATAAGCACAGAGACTAGGTCAGGTTTGAACTGAGAACTGTGAAGACAAAAGTTAAATGAGAGACTAATGGAACAAATACATACGTAAGTGTGTGCCACTGAGACTTGAGTGGGGCAAAAGACTTCCCAGGGAACCTAGCGTCACATGACTGAGGAGTCCTCCAACTGCAGGGAGCGAAGGAAAATGAGAGGCATCAGCAGAGTCCTTAAAGCCCAACTCAGCGAGCTCTATTTGAGATGGGCATCCCTAGCAGCCCTTGCCACTCCCTAGCAGAAGGGGAACCTCCTGGTGCCATAAAAACAAATGATAGGCCCCTTCCCTAATTGTCAAGCTGAATCCATGTTGGGAGTCAATAGCAAATAGCTAAGCAAACAGCTGGTAGAATGACTGGGAGGGATTACATTTCATGCTGATCCAAAAAGACCAGCTGGCAGAAGGAGGAAGGAGAGAGGGCTTCAGTAGGCCTGCTGTATTCTCTGCTACTGCCATACCTCTGGCTATCCCCAGAGTTTACTAAGACCCCAGGGAGGATCCTGGTCCTATTCATGCTCCTTAGAGCTAGGGTAAGATGCTGCTTTAAGCTCCACAAGTACATCTATAATGCAACCTGCTGGGAGCCATGTGTTCAGGGTCCCCCAACCCCTGATCCACTTCTGTTCTGTGCAATATCCGACACTTAATTGATTTCACAGGGACTGCCTGATTAATAACCCTTCAGGCTCCTGTTGGATGAAGGGGAGGCCAGAGTGGATGGCAACCAGACCTCTGCTCCAGCTTCATCTCAGGCCTGCTTAAGGAGCCTGCAGCTGAGTGGCAGACTGAATTTGAGGAACAACTTACCCACTGTCAGGGTTGGGAGCTACCTGGTGGGTCTCTAGTCTAAGCCAGTATTGATGTGGTTCCCAGATGAAACATGATTTCTTCTGGCAGGCTAGGCCAAACATTAAGCATTGAAGAGTTGGGACCAGCAGTCTTCCTGTCACCACCGAGTGATCCACAGACATGCCTCAGACACAGCCCACTGCTAAATAAGAAGCTCGTGGTCTATGGAGAGAGGTAGACTTGTAAAATGAAGACATGCACTGTGGATGGTATGCAAATGGAGACAACAGAATGGCAGGAGTGGTTCCCTCTTCTTGGGAGCATCAAGTAATAGTCATAACAAACACCCATAGATCCCTCGCTGGGCATCCAGGTGCTCCTCTGAGCACTTCATACATGGCTTTTAATCTTTAGCTCTCCCATAAGTAGTATGCTTGGGGCCCAAAAGACCATGCCCAGAGTTTGTTGTTGCTTTCTTTCTCCCCTTCTCTCTCTCTCTCTCTGTCTGTGTCTCTCTCTTGTTATTGTTGTGTGTGTTTGTGTGTATGTATGTGAGTGTGTGTACGTACATGTGTACATGTGTATGTGTACTAGGGTCTGGGCACTGTCCTAGCTTTTTCCATTCAACCCTGGCACTCTGCCACTTGAGCCTCAGCTCCACTTCTGGCTTTTTTGCTGATTAATTGGAGATAAGAATCTCACAGATTTTCCTGCCTAGGCTGGCTCTGAACTGTGATCCTCAGATCTCAGCCTCTTGAGTAGCGAGGGTTACAGGCATCAACCACTAGTGCCTGACTCATGCCCAGGTTTGATGATTTACTAGTAGAACTCACACATACTTATAGCTCTGATTTATTATGGTGACAAGATACAAAGCACAATCAAAAGGCTCATGGGATAAAGTCTGGGGCTCCCAGCCATGTGCAAGGTCCCAGAGTCCTCTCTCAGAAGTATCACACAGGACAGATACATGTCATGCCCCAGTAGCAGATAGTGGAATGCACAAAAGGTTGCCATTCCTGGAATTCATTAGGATGCCAGTACCACGAGGTTTTACTAGGGGCTAGTTACATGGGCACCTCTTGCCTGGAACTTACCCAAATTCCAGACTCCCCAGAGGAAAATAGGTGCTAAGTATTAACCATATTGTGAGCACAGTGAATCAGCCACCTGTATGTAGTCAGAGTGTGCATCCTTCTGAAACCCAACTTCCCTGATCCTAGCTAATGGCCAGTTTCATCAGAGCCTTTCACAGTAGCTAGGATGGTACCCTCACTCTTTTCTGCATAGATAGGTCATCTCACTAGCATCCCTACTTTAAAGATGAAGGATCTGAATCACAGGAAAGTTAAATAACTTGCCTAAGTCTCACAGGTAGCAAACAGCAAGCCTGCCCACAACACCCAGGTCAGCTGGCTCCAGGGCCTTTGCAGTGTTTACTGCTCCCATTCTGTTGATTGACCAGGCATCTACTGGTAGGCATTTGTAGGGGAGAGTGAAATTCTGAGCTGAGGGATAGTTGCATGGAGGCACAAAGCCAGGAGAGAGAGAGCATGGCAATTTGGAGAAAGGGCAAATAGTTGGTGTAGCGCGCCCACAGGCGGCCTTGTGAGACTGACAGGAAGGGAGGCAAGCAGCAGAGGGACTGGAACTGCAGGAAAAGGAGGCTGTACTTTCCCTCCATAGGCACTGGGTGCGGATGACAGAAGTGGATTAGGAACTGTGAACAGCATTATGGTGTTAGCCTTCCAGTGAATCTCTGTGGCCTGGAAGATATAGTTCATTTTTGGTTTTGTTTTTTTTCCTCATTAATTTGTTCAAATGCTCACTGTATAACTATTCATATGGTCTGGGCTGAGTCATTAAAACTTCCCTTCCACCCCCACCCTGAGATACACACCTTGAGGTCTCAGTAACTGAATGTGGGATCTGTCCTACCCCCACTGTATGGTTGTAAAAATCAGATGCAATGGTGGCTATCCCAGGGCTTTGTGGGCAGAAAAGGGTCCAGAACACTTTGTCCATGTGGTGTCACATGCCTGTCCTCCAGTTACTATACATAAGTAGAAAAGCATGCGAGCTTATCTAGAAAACAAACTAAAAGGAAAAGGAGGCATGGCTTTAGTGGTGGAGCACTTGTCTAGCAAGCACAAAGCCTAGGAGGGCCGCTTACTGTGAGGAGGAGGCAGGCTATTTAGCAGGGCAGTCTAAAGCCCTGCTGGGGACTCCCCTCCTCCCCCAAGATTATTTGTTCTACCCTTGGGAGGTGAGCTCAGCCTAGCCTGGGTCACACAGGTGGGCCTCTAAGCCCCTGCTTCAGGCTGCTCTAGGGTTTACCCAAGTCCAAAGGGGATCCAGTTACTTCCCTGTCAAAGAGTGCCAGAATCAGCAAGGCTGCCGGCCAGTTTCCCCTCCCAGAACTCAGTGACTTCTTTGCTAGAGGCTGCTGGAGCTTTTAAGTCAGAGATGTGTGACTTGAGTCCCACCCATGCTTTCTTTGCTGTCTGGCCCTTGGCAGGCTTTGACTCTGTCTGGCCTCAGTTTCCATATCTGTAAAATGAAGTAATAGCACCCGCTAATAGGAAGGAAAACTGAATCAGGTCTCCATACTTGAGCTACCAGCTGGTAAACAGAGGCCAGACATGACCCCATGTGCTTAAAGCAGCTCAAGACCCATGGAGAAATCCTTAGAGCTTTCATTCCTTCAGACCTAGATACCCGGAGTCTTAGGAAATGGAAGGTTTAGTGGTGACCCTTGAGTCAGGACACTGACTCCTCCTTTAGCTCTCCTCTCTAGGACTATGAGAGCCAGGCTTCAGTTTCCTTGTCAATCAGATGAAGCCAAATACTTTGACCCCAAACAAACTAAAATTTAAAATGACAGAATAAGGCTGTTTGAAGGCACCAGGAGATCTGGGTAGTAATGGTGAGTGCTTGTGTCCCTTCAAATTCCAGAATGATCTCAATGATTAAGCTCCCAGTTAGCATGTGAGTGGAAACCCTTTCAAGAGCTCTGGTGCCTTCTTGTTCTAGAAATGCTTTAATTGGTCGCATTGTCTTCCCCCTCCCCCAGCTTTATCCTAACACAGCTGTACTTTAGGAGATCATTATCATCAGCTCTCTCCCTTTTCAAAAATAATCCTTCCTTTGAAAATTATAATAGTTAAAATTTAAAAAAAAAACCCTTAATGAAGGCCCTTGAAGATCTCCATCATTATTAAGTTTGGTCTTCATGCTTTATGTCTTTATTCTCTGAATGTGCTTGTTTATTTCCAACATGTTTAACATAGAGGCTTGTCTCTCTGGGAACACAGTCCAAGCTGCTGATGCCAGCTAGACTCCCAGGTCTTCTAAATTCATGAAGCCAATATTGACCCTAGGAAGGCAGGGAACTTCTCCTGACCTTCTGGGCAGACACAAGTAGAGCTTGCTCATGCTGAGTGCATGTGGGCTGTGGAGAGACTCAATATCCTTCTCAAAATGCAGGGAGTGGAGGAAATTGTAATAACCATCACCTGCAATTGAGCACTGACTGTATGCTGGCGATCTGCCAGGCAGGCTTCCTTTTATATACCTCAAACTCAGCAGTATTCAGCACAGATCTATTTGTGCCTACTTCTTTGAACCAGGTACATAGCAGTGTCCAAGACAAATAAGGCTTCAGCTTCATGGAACTTGATTCTTTAGAAAGAAACACAGTAAGCAGATGTATTTCCTTCATCACTCCTGACTCCGTGCACTTTACATTGGGGTGTGTGTGTGTGTGTGTGTGTGAGTGTGTGTGTGAACGGAAGCGGTGCAGGGCCAGTGAGGGGTTAAGACCCATGTAGATATTTTCAGGATGATGATATAGGTTGATGAAAGCAGAGGCTTAGCTTATTTGAGAAAGCCAGGAGGCCAGTATATCTGTGTCCCAGAAAAATAGGATTAGGGAACTGGTGGGGAGCCAGATCTTACTTGCAGGGCCCCAGAGAAGGCAGAATAATCATGTGATCCAAATTATATTCCAGTTCTGTGAGGAGAACACTTACCCCTTCTATGGATGCTTAGAGTGAGTGACTCACAGCCAGGGCCAAGTGGCTGATGGATCTGATACCTGAACCCAGATCTATCTGCTCCCAGACTCTGCACCTCCCACTAGGCTACCAAGCCTTCACCAGCAAGGCTGCCTCCTGGAGGAGGTAGAAATAAAGCCCCTCTGAGGGATATCACACCCTGCAGCTCTGTCTAGGCACTGTAGAAGCCTCAAGCCCTGAATTCCATCAGAACAGCGTGTGGCCAAGGCTAGCAGCCTCAGGTGTGGGGATGGGGTCACCACCACAGCAGTACTCAGTGGCAAAGCAGGGTTACCTTGTGCTCTCACTGCCCCTGGGATGTTAATGTTCATCAGCTATGAGGTAGTACTCACAGCCACCCTTGGTTTGATCTTTGAGGCATGATACTGCAGAAGACACAGGGACAGAAGACACAGATTCAGAAAACCCCAGGTTCTAGAGCTAGCTCTGCTGCCTGTTTCCTGTATGATACAACCTTGGGCAAGTTCCTGTTCTGAGCCATGCTTTGTCAGCCTACAAAGTTGAGATGAAAGTGTAGATTCTGTAGGGTTGTTTTGGGGAATAGGACTTAAATTCTGGCAGAGCTTCTTGAACAGTGAATAATTTATGGTAAATATAAGAGAGAGAGCAGCTACCATTTAGCATTAGCACTTCTATAATATTTGTATAACCCTCAAAAAAATGATCCAATATCATCCCTTACAGTAACCTGAAAACTTAGTAATCCCCATTTTATAGGAAGGAAGGGAAGGATGAGGGAGAGAAGGGAGGAGGAAAAGAAGGGAGGGAAGGGGAGAGAAAGGGAAGGAAGGAAGGAAGAAGGAAGGGAGGGAGGAAGGAAGGAAGGAAGGAAGGAAAGGAGGGAGGGAGAGAGTTAAAGAGTTTTACCCAAAATCACACAACAAGCTAACATAAGAAGGACATGAGTTTGAATATACTGTTCTCAAAACCTTAGAGACAGAAGTAAGGTCTCAGCAGGGCTGGACCCGGAGTTGGCTATCTGTAGTTATTCTTTCCCTCAAGTGTGTGCTTGTCAAATATGGATCATTACAGGGTCTTTTTAACCTAGCAGAAGACAGGGTCCACAACACTCCAGTGGGAGTAGTGTCACATAACAGGCACAGCTGAAACCTCATTCACCATGGGTTAGTCAGCTGAAGCCACGCCTTCAGGGAGGAGACAGAGAACAACCCTCTATGTCTTCCCTGGGCTGCTCTTCTTGCTGATTCATGGTCACCTGGGTTTCCCCACAGCTAGAAGACCCTGAAACTCTAACCAGAGTCAGTATCAACCTGGGGATTTGAGAAAAAAATACCAATTTTCAAGTTCCTGACTCACTGACTCAGGGTGTCATTGCTTTAGAAGACAGTAACCACAAAGGCCTGGCACCTTTGTGTCTGTAGACAAGCCAAATAAATGCAGGTCTCCAGCTTCTGCTTATACAGATGTGAAGAGACAAGCAGAAAAACCTGAGCTCAAATTGCCTCTTTGACCTTGCTCACTGGTGACCTTGGAAGTCTCCACATCCAAGTTCCCTCATTTGTAGAATGAGGGTAACATTGCTTTCCTTGCATAGCTGCTTAGATTTGAAAGAATGGCTGTTAACATGTCTAGCTCACTGCTAGGCATGTGGTCAGTCCTCAGTGAGTGCTGTGGCTTGATGCCCACAGCTGCCAGACATCTGGATTGGTAGAGAGCGTGTTCCTTCTGGATGCTCTGTGCCAGCAGCACCCCTTTGCACACGGCTTGCACACTGACCCAGTGCCTGGAAATCCTGACCTGCTGGTCTTATAGACAGCTGCACCAAACAGCCACTTTGTGTGTTTCTCTACTCTCCCCTTCATCGATGCATGACTCATTGCTTCATTCATGTCTCCATGTGTGTGTAGAAACCTAGGCAAGCAGCCATTCCTAGGGACATTGCAGGACAACCTCATTGAGATGGACATTCTCAGCGCCTCCCGCCATGATGGGGCTTACAGTGACGGGTAGGTGACATCCCCATGCTCCTTCTATGTATGTGTGTATCTGTGGGTGAATTCTCTCTGTGGTTCCTGCATTTGCATGTAGGCCCTGAGGCCATTCCCTGGGGTCTCCTGGGGGAAGTGATGCATGATTGCATGCCCATTTACAAATCCACACTCAACTTGTAGTAGTTTGTCCTTGGAATACCCTGTCTCCCAGCATATTGACAGCAATCTTGTTAATATGCAGCCCCCAGCATCTCTCATTGGCTGCCTTCACCATTCTGAAACCATTTCATGTAGCAATTAAAAAAAAAATGGAGTCAGAGGACTATGTTTATTCTATGGCCTGAGACATCTTCTACTCCAACAAGGGTGAGTTTGCCCTAAGACATCAAGGAGAGTGCATCCCATTTCCCGGCTGTGTGCAAGTCCTACCATGGCCATGGTTAAAGCCAAGCTGTGCAGGATTTTCTGATGCCTGGTTTGGCCACAACCATGTGCTTTGATCATGCTCCGTGTCCCTCAAGACTGTGGCCAGGCTGTTGGATGCAGTTGCCCCTCTGTCTTCCCACACAGATTTCACCTGGGCCTCCAAAGGCAGTAGTCTGGCTTCTGATCAGGTTTCGAAGGATTTTTGTAGTAGCCACTAGGAGCTCAACAATAGGCAGAACTTAGTGGTGACACAATTTCCTTTTTAAAAGAAAGTAGTCCAAATTTTAACCAAGGTTCACTGGTAATGCAGGTATTGGAAGAGAGAAAGACAAAGAGAGAAAGAGAAAGAGAGAGGGGGGAAAAAAAGGTCTCAGTTGCCCCCAGGAGACAATCAGACTTCAGATTCTTTCCAGGGTGCTGTAATCATCTCAAGGACCAAGACATGGTCCTCCTAGCCCTATCTGTCCCAGGAAAAGGGCCTCCAGGCCAGCCTCGGTTGCGTGGGGAACACCTTCTGAATTGGGCGGATCTTCCCATGGGCAAGGCAGTCCCGTTGTGCTCCGTGGAAACATGTCTTTGTGCACCCTGTTTTGTGATCTGGCTCATGCCTTTCCTCTTCCTGTCCCCTCCATCTTCTCTGTGGTGACTCTCCTTCTCTCTCCTTCTCTCCAGGCTCCTCTGCATGCTTCTCTTCCTACTGCCTTTGTCCTTCAGGTTGGTCCTGGAACCTGGTCAGCCAGCAAGCCCTGACCCCTTCCCACCTCTCTTCATCCGCAGGCACTTCCTCTTCAAGCCTGGAGGCACCTCCCCACTCTTCTGCACCACATCCCCAGGGTATCCACTGACATCCAGCACCGTGTATTCCCCGCCACCCAGGCCCTTGCCCCGCAGCACCTTCTCCAGGCCAGCCTTGAACCTCAAGAAGCCCTCCAAATACTGCAACTGGAAGTGTGCAGCCCTGAGCGCCATCGTCATCTCTGCCACACTGGTCATCCTGCTCGCATACTTTGTAGGTAAGCACATCCTCTCCCCAGATCCCTTGGGTTCTCCTTTTGGCCCAGAATGCAGCAACTAAGGCCCATGCTGATGCTGAAGGCACCTCATCAGTGCAGCAGTCTTGTCACACAAGCCCTGGGTGCTGGTCCAGTGTGCACCCCACACTGGCAGGGCTAGACTTCAGTGCCTCCTTCGCTCCATTCTGTTTTAGACTAGGAAAGAAGCTGAGCATTTGTCCTTCAGTTATTGGATGCTTGGCTTTGGGACAGAAGCACATGGTAAGACTAGATCTGAGCTTGTGGTTCATGGTGTCAGTCTCACTGAAGAAGAAATGGCAATGAATCTGGACAGCAGGTGAAGTCTATGGTTGGTACCCAGGCTATAATGAGGAGCAAGGGATTGGGATGCTCTGGGCTTGGAGGTAACTTCAAGGAAAGCATGTCTGATGGTGACAGTCTGGCAAGGCTGTCTGAGAGCATGGTGAGAACTTAAATCCAGTTAAACGATCATTAGAATTCAGGGCAACCCTGATTGTGAAGAAGTGAGTGTCAATGAGCTGGCCAAAGAAAACACAGACATTAATTTGTACTGATGGGTGCCTCTTACCTGATCCAAAGGTGTGCCCTTGATGCAAGAAACTCCTTGTGACCTGCTACCATGCTCCAGCACGGCAGCTCCCACTCGGTAGTCTTGGCCTGTATTTGTAACACACTCTTAGTTTCCTACTTCTGACTTCTCTTTTTGGTCTTCTCCCAGGAAAGAGATTAACCTGAAGAAATGTGTAGAGCCTTGTATAGAGCCTGCAACTTCTATGTCAATCAACATGGTTGGAATGGCATCTGAAGGGAGCTTGGTTTTTAGCCTTTCCATCCTCCCCGTTCTGTAGCTCTAAGATGGAAAGCTAGTCAGGCCAGCTTGAGAAGGCCTTGAACCCATGCTAAAGAATTCTGTAAGCAAACGGGAGTTTGTCAGTCTATAGAACTACAGTAAATAGAAATAGAGCTAACTGGCAGAGGCTACCGGAAGACAGAATGCCTCCCACTATGAAATTGAACCCTGTACAAGCCAAATGAAAAAGGGGCCTTATCAAAAGGGGAAGAATGTGCTGTCACTAGGGTTATTAATACATCGTGGGCCACCATTTGTTCAACATGGAAAAGGAATAGCGTGGTCAGGGATGGGGGTTTGAGCACTGATGTTGGGTCATTTCCTGCTCAAGGTTCTTGAACTTTACAAAATCAAGAAGGTGACAGTCCTTTGAGGAGGGAAATCTTATATCTCTGGTACATCAGGTCTCTTTTCTCCTTGTGAATGTAGGATTTGAGAGTTGCATGGCTCCAAAGCAGGACGCCATACATGTTTTATCTCTTCTCGCAACATGATTAATTGTTGCTGCCTAGAAAGCTGTGTTGAGAAGGATCCTGAAGCTACTCAGAAACATTGGGAAAAAGCTCTCTGTAATTGATTAGTGATGTCTGTCATGTCCATAAGATTGGAAAATAAGGGCTAGGAAGTTGGCTCAGTGGTAGAGCACTTGCCTTGCATGCCTGAGGCCCTGGCTTCGATTCCTCAGCACCACATAAGCAAAAAGAAAAAAGCCGGAAGTGGTGCTGTAGCTCAAGTGGTAGAGCACTAGCCTTGAGCTGAAGAGCTAAGGGACAGCGCTCAGGCCCAGAGTTCAGGCCCCACGACTTGGACCCCCCCTCCAAAAAAAAAGATTGGAAAATAAAGTTGACTTACAAGGCCTAGCCATTCTCAGTGTGGGTCACTGGCTAGAAGGAATAGTCAAAGTTAGAGAAGTCAGGGCCCACCCAAGCTTTGTGAATGGTGCATCATGGATATAGATTGGTTGTAGGTCAGGGTTGTAGAACTAAGGAACCATCACCTGGCATAATACTGTATCCCCCAACATAGCCCTTGCTTTTCCTGACAGTGTTATATTTCCTAAATGAGTAGATTTCTGGACATATGCTGCCACTATTCAAGAGTCTAGTAGTGTGCTACATGTAGACAATAATCTGTTTTTGCTTTGAAGCTCTGAGATGCAAAGCATGTAGCCAGTTTAAGAAGTAAGAGCAAATCTTTATACAGTTAAGTAAACTCTCTCCTATTTACTATCCCATGGGCTTTATTAAACTCTTCCATTTAATAAGAAAACATGGTCCCAAAAAAATGGGCAAAAAAAAAAAAAAGAAAACATGGTCCATCTTCAGCTCTCTGAAGATTGGGGCTACTTGTGGGAAGTTCTGAGCTCTCTGTCCTAAGAAAGGCACAGATACATTCATCGACTGCTTAGAAAGAATTCAGGCACTGACCAAGGGATTTTTTTTTTCCTGGATAGTCTTTAATTTTTCTTCTAACATGGATGGTCTTTGAATCTTCAATGATTTTGTGAATTCTGTTTTGCATTCAATAATCCATAGGAGTATCTGCTTTGAGACATTGTGCTAAATGCTAGGATAAAAGATAAATTCCTAAGGCCAGGTACAGCTTTTTATTATAGGCATATCTCAGCTAATCAGGAAGCAGAGACTGGGTGTTTCAAAGTTCAAGACCAGCCTGGGCAAAAAAAGTTAGTGGGACCAATCTCGACCAACAGGTCAGCATGATGGAGTACACTTGTAATCCTACCACAATGGAAGGTATTAGGAGGAGAATTCCTGTCTGAGGATTGCTAGCCCAGAGTTAAAAAAAATTCAAGACCCTATTTGGCTCAAGTAGTAGAATGAGTGCCCCCCTAGTAAGCATGGGGCCTTGAGTTCAAACCACAATGCAGCCACAAAACAGTAACAAAAAGAAAACAGTTTTTGCCTTTAAGATATTCATAACTGAGAAGGATAGACAGTTATGCTAGCAGGTTAATGTAAACCAGCGACTAGCACACATGAAGCTTCGGGGCTGGAATACCCAGTAGCAGTCAAGAGGACTGGGAAAAGCTTTTCACGGAAATTTCTACATGGATTTTTCTAGTAGGAATTAGCCAAATAGAAGCATGCAAGAAGGGGTTTTCAACCAAAGACAACTTGCAGAGACTTCAAAAAGGATGATGAAGCAAAGAAATGTCTACGTGGAGCATGTGAGGGGTTAGGGTACACTGTGAGGCAAAGCACAAACAAGTGTTTTGACAGATTAGGAAGGTCACCTTGGAGACCACGCTGAGCATATTATTGGATGGGTGGTTGTGGGCTGTAAACAGTGGTAGAAAATAGATTTTCATTTCAGAAAGACAAGGGTAGAGGTTGGAAGAGCTATTAGGAAGGCCTTGAAATAAACTAGTCCAGAAAAGCCAATGATCTCACCTAAGACAGTGGAATACAGTGTGTATATGGGGTAAGGTATATAAGTATATATAAGGTATATAAGTGTGTATAGAGGTAAGGTCAGTTTAGGAAAATGTGTGTCTCAAGTTAGGAGTTCTTGGATCATGTGTCCTTGCTAAGAATAAATTTATCCTGTGATAAAACTCTCTCAATGTAGAAATCTCGTGTGTGTTCATGTACACACACACACTTGAACTCAGGGCTTTGGGCTTGAACTCAGGGCCTGGGCACTGTCCCTTAGCTTATGTGCTCAAGGTTGGTGCTCTACCACTTGAGCCAAAGCTCCACTTTGGCTTTTTGATTATTAATTGGAGATAAGAGTTTCTTGGATTTTTCTGCCCATGTTGGCTTCACCCTCCTGAGAAGCTAGGATTATAAAGCATGAGTCACTTGTACCAGGTTCTCAATCTTTAGACTAGACTCTAGCAATCACAACAAAGTATCGTGAGTGACATTGCTTTTGTCACCTGGAGGTCCAGCAAAGGGTTGAGGAAGCACTTTGCCCCAATGTCTGACAGCACTGGGCTAGGGTCCTATCACTTGGCATATGGCTACTGTTCACACTTGGGCAGCTCACTTCTCTGCCTGTATTCTGATTTCCTAAGTACTAGGAAGTAGCTCCGTGCTCTGAAGGCTGTCGGCAATGTGGGAGGAAAGCACAGGTGAATGCACTGAAGGTATGGGGACCAAGCACCCCTTCTTAAAGGACTGGGGTGGTAATCATGCTGCTGGGCTCCTCCAGCTGCCAAGGAATGACTGTGCAAGCAAGCAAGCCAACGTCTTATTTCTTGGCCATAATTATAGTCTGTGATGACTAACTTGTAAGGAACTATCAATTATTAAAAATCAAATTAATTGTCTCAGCCAAGCACAAATAGCCTTAACAAAGACTCTGTTTCCAGCAGACCAACTGATCTAATCAACAGGCAAAAGCAAAGATATCTAATTAGATTTTTGATGAAAAATTGTGTTTAATTTCAAGTATAATCAATTATTAATTACTGTAATGAGTGAGTCTGACTGGGTTTACTAATTAACTCATTTAAAAATTATGAATAACCTTTTCATTTGTAATTATTTTCTACATCCTATCAAGTTCCAGATAAGAACTGCACCACCTCACCAGCAGAGGGGGAGGCCAAAACAGAGGGTGGAGAAGAATTTGTCTTTTGCTGGTATCAACCAGGGACCCTGTATTTTGAGGCTAGTCCTGACAGATCCATATAATGTGCAATGTCTTTTTTGTGTGAGGCAGTACTAGGGCTTGGACTCAGAGCCCAGGCACTATCCTTTGGTGTTTTCACCCAAGGCTGGTGCTCTACCACTTGATCCACAACATTTTGGTAGTTAACGGGAGGGAAAAGTCTCATGGACTTTCCTGCTCAGAATGACTTAAACTCATGAGCCTCGGATCACAGCCTTCTGAGTAGCTAGGATACTGGGGTGTGGTTTGATGTACAGTTTCTTGTTTGGAACTCTGTGTAAAAATGAGCAATCAGTGACCTTTCAATTGCAGATATTTATTCAGATTTTCATGAGAAAATGGAGAGAATAGAGTCAGCACTTACTACCCAGAGGACTACAGAGCGCAAGGCCTGCCTTCCTACCATCTTTTCCCTCAAGCAGGTCATATTACTTGGCTGCCCTGGACTGGGATAGGAACCCAGGGAGACTTTCTGACAGCTACAAGATCTCTT